TGGTTGTTGAATGCCAAACGTGAATGTCTTCCCCGAGAACTTCAAAATAGAGGAATATTTCCAGATATAGACTCTATCATTTGAAATAAAAACGTACCAACTATTCGATTGTGGGTGGCTTATATGTTAGAAAAATTTCGATCTTATCGTTTATTTGGTTGGAGAATGATCGATTTTCTCAGAGAGGCGGGTATGATAATTTCTATCATAGAACCTATTCCTAAGTCTGATGAAAACGTTGTATCATTATCTCAAGCTGTGAAGGCAAATTCCTCTATCGTTAAAGCAGAGGAGATATCAGATATATCTAATGCTACTATTCTTGATTGTGAGACTGCAGAATTTTTAGAGAATAAACCAAAGAAGACTTTAGACGAGATGTGGTCTCTAGATCGACATCATATTGTGGATTGCTATGAGATTCTACCTGAATTATTGACTGAGGATTTTGTCTCAAAATATGGGAATTTTAATTATATGAAATGGTTTAGAGCTTATAGGCAATTACGAGATGCTGGCACTGATAATGAAATGGCTGTTGGGGCTATTACCCGTAAAGATTATAGAGAGAATAGACTCACAACTGTGACCCGAGCTGAGAAACATAATATCTGCTTAGAATTATTAAGGATTTGCACACCAGTTAGAGACATTGATGATAGAACCAGATATAAAGCTGATGATATTAAGATGTGTTTGAATTCTCCTGAATCAAGATCATTTCTTCAGAATTTAGTGCCTAAAATGGCTCGAGTATTTGATAACACAGATGCACTGCGTAGTGCTAAAAAATCAGGACTAAAAACAATTCGGGCAAAACTTGGTTTACTAAACTCAGACTTTACGCAACATATGGGTTGAAATTTAAGGCTATAGATAAGAATCTCAAACATTACCATCTTGTTGGATCATTTGATATCAATGGCTCTCCTGAGTTACCCCCATACCAAACAGGAGAAGAAATATACTGGGAAAGTGGTAAAGATACCCGGTATGCTTATAGTAAGCTCACTTCTGATGAATTAGATAATGTTTCTAGTTCTAACAAAGCAAATACTACGCAAATTACAGAAGATATTCAGGCTTTATTTGATATTGCATAGGCTGGTTTCATTATAAAACAATCTGAATATACTACTAGACTTTATAAAAATAGATCATTACATACAAAGATAAGTCTTCTTCCATTATTTTATATAATATTTCTGAAGAAGACTTATCCTCACAATATACTCCTTACCTGGGTTCACAAAGTGAATCCCTTGATCCTTTAGATAAATGTCACTATTGTTTAAGAAGACACTAAATGCGGAAGACTTTTATCTGATAGTACCTAGTAGTATTTTTTTCCTCACTTCTAGGTAGATAATTCTGAGGTCTTTATAAGTTGAAAGGCATCAACTCCATACTTCTTTCTCATCCGATAATTTAGTGTATGAAATCTACCCGAATGATCAGGACAACATTTCGTAGTAGAAACAGTATATCTACGACAACCAATAACAAGGCAGGGTTTTTTTCTATATTTTTTTCATACAATTTCTAGTGTCTATAACACCCAGTGGGATCACAGCACTTATTTTCACAAATAGTGTTATCCTTCTTGATAAATGCGCAAGTAAAATGAGCCATAGTCAAAGATACTAAAGCAAAAGTATTTTAGGATATAGAAACCTTTCAATTTTATTGTGGATTAATTTTATAATAAAACATGTATTTAAATTAATTGATATCATAATGAGATAAACTATCATTTCATACTTACGTTATAGACATAATGCAAAGAGCGGTACTCAATATACTAACCAGCTGATGGATTGATCCAAATAGAAAGCTATTTCAGAAGTTGATCCATGAAGGCTACAGATATGCTGATAGACTTTCAGATTATTTAGAAGATATTGGAACTATGTATGCTGATGAATTCGAATTAGATCCCTTATTCGATTTCCACTACTCAGCTCTAATTCCGCCTCTATCTATCTTAGCAAATAGATCAGATATTCGTAAAAGGTTCCCTATTAGTATGGAATCCGCCGTTGAGGGTGGTATGTGTTTATTTACCCTGGAAAAAAATAGACAGTCCTCACTTCAGAATTTAATCCA